CGGTTAAGTTAATCACACATTCACTCCGCTCGGCGCTCTGCTGCTCCGTCTCCACAGACAGAGTGTCCAGAGTGCGCTCTGCCACTCTGAGAGTGCGCTGCTCTGGATAACCCAACGCTACATTCAGACAGCGCTCCCAATTTATCAACGCTCCAGTTTGTGTCAGAGTGCGCTCCCACACTCACAATGAGTGTTTCTGAACGCACCACTCACATCATCTTCCTCCATCGTCTAAAACAAGACAACACAACTTGTTAGCTAACGCTAGCTAATGTCTGCGGAGAACTGTTTTGCCTCCAGTTAAGCCCCGCCCACCAAAAATATCTGTTACTAACAGTAAAAGGGGCTATAGAAGAATTAACACTTGGCTTAGATTCTATAGATTTAAAAAAAATCCTTAACAAAACATTTGAATGTAATGAGAGCCTTCAGCGCTGTATATCCAGGTCTCTTTATACATCCATGGTCTGTTGGCTGAAGCTTCATATTTAACAGACATTTGAGTCTTCTCATCTCTCAGCAAGAAAGTGAATAACCGTCTTCCCCAGAATGTCAAACTATTCCTTCAAAGATAATTTATAGTGATTTCTGATTTATGACAGAACAGGCCAACCTTCATTTGTTAAACAGAAGGATAAATCCTCTTCAGACGGCTACAATCACCAGATGTAGCAGAATGCTAGGAACCAAACAAAAGTCTTCCGAAATAGAAACCCAGTTGCACACAGTGCTGCATGGAGACTTACAGTATGAGCCCTCTCTATAGCGTCTCATTTATTTACACTCCAAGTCTGTGTGAGATTAAAACGGTAAACCACCCAGGAGAAACCGGTGAAAGTGGAGACTGGAAAAGAAAAGAGTGTGGATTTAGAGGCTGTTTGATCATAAAGGTGCCGACAACAAGCTCACAGCGAGCACAGCCTCCCCTTAGTTTTGTAATTTCAGAGGGTCGACCTTTATGTTTTATGGCACAGAGACAGAAACAAAGGCAGTAAAACCAGAAAAGGAGATGGAGACACTTTTCCACAAGGCAACACAACCGATCGTGTGATATTTCAGATGCGTCACAGGCAGTCTGATGTGTGAAGAGTACGACCAGTCCTAGTGAGTCTGTAAACGCTGCAGAGAGGCTCATGCACCCCTTTAGTGTCCCTCTACCTGTAGAAACTCTTCTCTGTAGCGTTGGATTAGAGTTTTTCTTTCAGACAATGGTGTTGGTTTAAATTCAGTTCAGATTAAATCAGTTCCTCCTGATTGTCGTTCATTTCAACCTTTTCTCTGGATAGCTGATGGTAATTTTCCTCCTGAGCTGCAGTAAGAGTTTTGGCCACGTTGTTCAGTTCTCTCGTTGTTCTTGATCCATATAAAGAGACACTTCCAGGATCTGACATATCAACAAGAAAGTTGAACTTCCTCTCAGACAGTAAATGACTGAGATCCAGATTCACTACGACTACAGAGTCCAATTGTAACTGTATTTTGAAATTGAAATTTTTGAAAGAGATTCATGACGCTCAAATTGTTGTCTCATTGTCCACAAGGGGGACTTTAAGATAATTTTCTCCATTTCAGAGTATTTAAGGGCCTAAAGCTATGTTTTCATTTTAACATTGCATAGATTGTTGCAAATATGATGCCTCTACCGCTGTCTTAGAGGCTGTCCTGGTACCAACCTCATCAGGCAGGTGGCTGATGTTGGAGGGTCGTTGGCTTGATTAAGCTCACCTGGACCTTTCAGACTGTAAAAGCGGCTCCATTGGTGCTTCTTAAAGTCAAGGAAGGATCCTTTAATGGCTTTCAAGGTCATTGAATCCCGCTGAAGGACTGTTCCGTTGACAAGGATCCTTCGAATTCTACCAATAAACGAAACCTCCCTTCAGATAATTTTCAAGGATGCATGTATGTATACTCAGCAGGCATGAAGTACCCACAGTTCTTTGTGCACAACTTGCCAGAACTGAAGGCGGGGCCTCTTCAATGACATACCTGAGCACTCACTGGCCTGTTCCAATCTGTGTTCACTGAATGCTTTAGGAAGGAGTCTTGCCTAGTCTCTGTAGGACCCGACTTGGAAGGACCCGTCCTACCAAGGAAGCATCCTTGACTTTGAAGAGCACCACATGTGTTTACTTGCTTTCTCCTGTCCTACGACACACATCCACCCTGCATCATTGCTTTTTAGTTTTGCACCTTTGACACCTCCAGAACACACCTGACACACGGCCATTAGGCTGTTCTCATAAACTGTAAGTTTTCCTATGAAAAGCAACGCAACCAAATTTGCACATATCTCATTGTTTTTTTGAAAGGCTGCGATCACAAGACTAATGCACAGAGGGGAGTAAACAAGGAAGCAGCCCCAACTGGCCTTGTAAGGAGGCAGGTTGGGGTGGTGCATGGGTCACAAAACTGTAAACTTTTCCCCTGGACTGTACCCTGGAGACACGTGCAGAACCGTGTGAACTCTGAGTCACTTTAAAGGAACATCCTCACTTTGTTTCTTTCGCTAAACCTCACCACAATTACTTTACTTGCCCAAACCTGACCTCCGTAACTTTACATTAATTATATAACTTTATGTTCAAGACATATGGGACGCAAATTTGTAAGATATCATTCAAATCATTCTACGATGAAACATTACTGACTGCACACTCCCTTGTTCATTTGAGTTAATGTTAGTCTAACAGATCATGTTTGTTTTGAGTGTGCTAAATCTCTTGTGGACTCCCTCCTTGTCACTTCAATTTAGCCATTTGTGACACAATGCACACAAAAAGGACACTAGTTGACAAACCCACTGACGGATTACACCAGGTCTGCAGCTCTACACAGCTTTTGGCATCTTTTAGCTCATTGTTTTGTTTCTACAACTTCACAGTCACTACATTTACATGCACAAAATATTCTGTTTTTGGCCTTACTCCGAAAAAGCCAGAATTTGTACTAAGCTGTTTACATCGCTCATGAAAATGAATATTCCAATTAACGTGTCCTAACATCTATCAAGTCAAAATACAGAACAGTGGAATGGCTGGAGCTGCTTATCACTTAGTGTCTTTTGATCAAAATAAGACTTTTTTCACAGTTTTCCATCAGTGCTGGACTTGTTGGACAGTGTGAGCTCAGCCTTCTACTGTCATTCCCTAAACCACCTTCTTAAAAAGGTCAGTGTTGTGATATTTGTGCATATCCAAAAAACAGTTGGTACCAAAGTCTTTCACGATGTTTAAACACAGGTGTGTTTCTGCTTCTGGCCAGAAATGTGGAGTTTTCTTTTGGGCATGCTTCTCTATGAACTCTGTGAACTGTTAGCAAGTTGGTTTGTGTACAACACACAGAGCCGACTGTAAACAAGACGCCATGTTTCACAAACTGCAGTAAAACCACAGTTACGATGCATATTCTGAATGCCCTGTATACACGTCCAAATAATGCTGTTAAAACATGAAAACTTGTTATATTTGTGTTTCTCTCATGTCTTAATCGGAAAATGCAAAATTTGGAAAAACACCTAAATGTCTAAATGGAATAAGCTGTTTTTATGACCCGTAGTAAATTCAGAAAATTGTATATTCAGAATACCAGGGGAATATCAGTGTGCATGTAAATGTACCCACTGACCATTTGGTTGATTCCCTCACTCTCTCACCAGCCTGTTGACATAGACATGCCCCTGGATTAAGTCCTAAATCCTTGAAATGAGTCAGTATTTTAGCACTTCTGGTTCCCCCATCTCGAAGTCAGTGGGTTTTTTAAGGAGTTTTTGTTGAATGCCTGAAATGAGGTCTGTGGTTCGCACAAGCTGAAGAGACTCTCATGTTTTGTTCTACAACATAAAATACATCAGTCAATTGACCCTTTGCTAAGCCCCGCCCCCCCTTAGTTACTGTTGCCATGTCCGTCAAGCTTTCGCTCCTAGCATAAGAAATATGGAGGTCCAGCAATATCAGTGAGAGATATTCCAAAGGAAATAACATCAAATTTCTGTAAAAACTGTTCGGAGATATCAGAGAGAAGACGACAGAAAGGTCTTGAATTTGCATGTGAGAGCTACATTCACAATATCATCTGCTGGCAGTATAAACCATGAGAACATTAAAATAGAGGGAGCAGCTCACCAGTCGCAATGCAAGCGTCAGGCACCCCACGTCTTGACACTTCACGTGAAGGACAAAGAATGTTCTTGTACAGCAGGATAAGTCGATATATGGTTTAAATTTAAGTTAATGTTGAGTTATGTTCCCTCCTTGGGGCAGACAAAGGGAGAGCAGCTAGCACACAAAGCTAGCGTTAGCTAACGTTAGCATCTTAACTATCAACAAACGTAGGTGTTTTTATTGATCTTTGCTGGATTCAGCTGTTCGTGTGGTCTTCCACACTGTTTTAGCCATATGTTCCTTGGGTCTTGGGCTTGGGGAAGNGTAGGTGTTTTTATTGATCTTTGCTGGATTCAGCTGTTCGTGTGGTCTTCCACACTGTTTTAGCCATATGTTCCTTGGGTCTTGGGCTTGGGGAAGGGGAAAAATTCAACAACACCTTTGACACTTTTTGGGTATCAGGTGTCAGACTTGAAGGTAACGTTACCGTACGCACGCCCCTTTGGCATATTAGCTTCTGCTGAAAGCTTGACGGACCTCCCAGTTGCTACACACGGTTGCTAACGTAGGATTGGACAGTGACTGATTAAGGGAGAGGCTTAGCGAAGGGTCAGTTCCCCACTGTGAATTTTTAAGATTTTATGTCTTTAAAAAGGCAGTTGCTAACAAGTGGCTACATGAGACCACAGAACATCAACGCGCTGCACCGAACATGGCTCACTCTTGTTAGTGTAGTGGTTTAGGGTCATGTGACTGTAGTGTAGTTTGTTTATAGCCTAACGTTAGCATTTACCTTCTGGTGATTGCATTTAGGCTTCAGTAATCATTAAAGTGGTGTTCATTTGTGGAGATTATCTTGCTGAACAAAATGTGTATCATAAATGTTTGTTTGCCACAGAGATTAATTTTTGCAATAATCCAAAATCCAATTGAAAAATTCCATAGGCTTTTTGATGAGGGAACCAGTGTGCTGCTCATGTCTCCATTGGCATACAGAAAAATGCCATCCCTGGGGAACTCCATATTCAAAAGTTTCTCATCCTGTATGTTGTTAATTAAATGCTTCTGGTTGCCTCACTTTTTAGTTTCTGGTCATTCTTGAAAAAATATCTAGATTTCAGTTCTCAAAGTAATTACTTGAGCTAATAAGCAGTTAGCAAACAACCCAACCCTCAGAGCACGTAAGTAGACTTTTGTTTTGTGACTTTGGAGGCTGTGCACTCTTGGAGTCAGCTGAAGGACTGACAATAAACACGGTGTCTTTATGAACATCTACCATCTTCTTGTTTCCACCAAGACTGTGAATGGCTACGACTGTCTGTGTGTGCAAACTCTTCCTTTGAAAACATCCTAGATTCACTACAAACACTTACAGGGTAGTGTTGTTAAGCGAGCTTGTGGATTGTGTGTGTTCTTGACATGGCTCAGAATGATGTGAATTATATGTAATTGATAGATGCGTCACCATTGCCTCTGTCGGGACAATTTCACAAGGCTGTCTTTCTGATTTGGTCATTTCAGTGCGGACACCATGCGAGCCTGTAATGAATCTGGGCCTGAGTGCTGGATCAGTCAGCAGTAACCAGCAGTGGTTCTGTGTGTCAGAGGTCGTCCCAGTCAGACAGTAGTAACTGATAACAGAGGGCTGGGACAAAGCTGATTGTCGCTCTCCACTCGTGTCCCATGAGTTAGCAGCTCCTCCACAGTTGTCCAATCATCGAGCAGTTTGCTGTTCCTCAGGCGGTTCTGCTTCATGTGGCTCAGCTCCAGCACCGTCTGAGACGACAGCGACCCCTGAAGTCCTCCGGCCTGCTCTTCCCCTCCTCCTCTCCTCTCTCTGTGTTGACGCGATATCGCCAGGTGGCGCCTCCGTTCAGTCCGGTTCCAGTAACGCCCCGCCCAGCGGCCATCCTCTCCTTCCTCCTCACCTTCTCTTTCCCCCTCTCCGCGCACCTCTTCGTCTGTTGTGACCTCACTGCGCTCCCTGGCCAATCGGTAAGCTCGGGCTCTGAGCAGCTGGTTCCTGACTGACTTCTGATTGGATAGTCTGGAGCGGGGAGAGGGTGGAGAGTGGGGGTTATGTTGTGGGGCGCCCAGTGTGCTGTAGAAAGAAACAGAGGGTGCTTTTGGGTTGCTGGTGCGACTCCCAAGAGTCTGAAAGCCACGCCAGTCTGACGCCCCGCTGGAGCCTGATCCAGGACTCTTAGAAAGGGAGTCCTCTCTGCTCGGGCTCATGCCCTGGCTGTTTCTCAGTGTGTTCTGATGATTGGTCAGACTGGTTCTGTCTATGCTGAGATGATTGGTGGGGTGACAGCTACTGGGATAACTGGCCCTGCTCCTCGGCCCCAGCGTGTTGCTGGCTGTTCCTGGTTGGCTGTTCTGGAGTCTGTTTCTCAGAGTGTTTGGATCTGCCATGTTGGGGTGACTGGCCCTGCGCTGGCGCTGTCCTTCACTCAAATCTGTTATTGTTCGACTCCGCCCTGGAGCCTCTATCGTCCCGCTTCCTCCCTGCTGTTGGTCCAACCACAGCGCCCTCCGCTGGCAGGGCTCAGTACGGCAACCTGCAGACAGAAAGACATAAACAGGTCCAGAGTGTTGCATCACATCTTGAAATATATAAATCCCCGTTCATACAATAAAACCTCCTTGCGGCTAGAGAAAACTCTCCATGCAGTGCTTTAGTACAAAGCAGTGCAACCTTTGACCCTTACACCTGACAGTTTCCTCACAATGGTCTCAACAATGGCCCTGTAGCTCCTTGGTGTTAAACAAGACCACAAAGACATTGATGCTTCACACAACTGCTCAGATTAATGGGATTTATTAAAATGTTTTCCCTTTGATAAATACTGCATTCATGTTCATCCCTCACGTGAATTTTCACAGCTGAGAACACAGCAGAACTTTCAGGATCCAGTGTGATCACTAAATGTGATCTCAGTGTCAGGCTCTTCAGATCAGACTCCCCTTGTTTGGGAAGTTTGTTCCTTGTTTCACAGTACTTTGCAATTTTGAGTCCAAATACCAGCTGAGAAAGCGGTCAAATTTTTCTTAATGATACCAAGTCTTAAATATAGATACTCACATGCAAACCTTCACGTATGTTTCCTGATAATCTCATTACGTCATGAATAGACAATATTCACACATTTGTTTTTAAAGATTCCCAAAAATTCTGCCTGCTTATGTCCAGCTCCTTTTTCAGGACCAATATCTATTCTGGATAAAGAATGCTCTGATTTTCTTGTCTTGAGACTCTGTAGATTGGGGCATTAGATGGATAGTTTAGGGAAATATTTGTTGAGCTTTACTAACCGATGGAAGGGGAAGGTGGCGAGCGGTTGCGAGGTAAGGTGGGACTCCTCTCGGCTCTGTGGAAGTGTACTGTTGTGGTCGTGCTGTTACCCACACTGCAGCGGGACGGCTGAGGTGCTCCAGAGTGAGTCATCTGAGTCGTCTCAGGGATGGACTCCAAATCCCAGCGTCCTCTCTGCTCTCGAGGGGAGTGGCCTGAGCGGAGATGGTGAGTTTGTCGGTGGGCATGGCTTCCATGAATCTTATGCAGCCGTCTGTGCTCCCCAGTGCTGACGCTGTGAAAGCCAGAGTCACTGGGTTCGGAGGAGATCAGCGACTCAGAGGACGAGGAGGAGCCTTGGGAGGAAGGAGTGTGACCCGGCAATGATGACATGGCATCTGTTTCAGCCTCGGAGAGCGCCACCCGGTGGTGTGGGCTGTCAGGGCCACATCCCAGCCCGCTGTCAAGCTCACTGAGGGGAAGGTATCCAAGAAGACGATCAGACCGCCAAGGAGGGCGATAGTCGGACTGAAGAGATAGTAAGAGAAAAATTATTTGAATTTAAGTAAAGGTCCGTTATTAGACAAGTGCAAAGGATGCACAGAATCAGGGAACATGCAAAGTTTACGAGGATAAAATAAGCATTTATGTTTTTGTGCAGATTACATGGATGTAAACTGCACAAAAACATATACGCTTCACACACAGAAGATCTATACAATCAGCACAGTTTAAAGGTGGGTACTCAAAACTAGTGTCACTGATTCAGTATCTGACCAAATGTCTCCCCTTCTGTTCCCTCAAATATGATGCTGAGTTATCACCAGGTAAGTGTTCTCTGCAGAATATTATGATGTCACAGTAACCTTGACCTTTGACGTTCGACCACCAAATCCTAATCAGTTTATTCTTCAGTCAAAATGAACATTCATGCCAAATTTGAAAAAAATCTCTTAAAGCGTTTTTGAGATATTGCATTCACAAGAATGAGATAGATGCAAGATTACAGTGACCTTTGATCTATGACAGTCAGAATATAATCAGTTCATTCAAGTGAAGGTTTGTGCCAAATTTGAAAAAAAATCCTAAAGGTGCTCTTGAGATATGGAGCTCACAAGAATGAGAGAGACAAGGTCACAGTCTTTGACCTATGACTGCCTGATCAGTTCATCACTGAGATCAGGGGGTGTTTGTGCTAAATTTTAAGAAATTCTCTCAAGGATTCTTGAGGTATCGCGTTCACAATAATAAGACGAACCGACACGTATGGACAGACGGATGAACAACCCAAAAACATAATGCCTCCGGTCATGTCTATCACCGGTGGAGAGGCACAAAAAACGAAATAATGAAATTGTTAGAGAGGCAGCAGAAGAGAGGAAGACGTGCAAAAAGGAAACGAGGGCACAGAAGCTGCTGAGAAATGAAAATGTAGGAATGCAAATCCCTGAAAACCACCTGTCTGGGGAAATTCTTTGGCTCCATCTCTTCTGTGTTATAGCAGCCAATCAGACAGCTCTCTGAGTTCGGCTGGTAGGGCAATATGTCTGGACCCTAAAAATGAAAAGAGATCGCCATAGAAATTAGTCTAAATGTATTACTTTTATAGCACATAACAGAATAGAACAGAATAAGTCACCTGGTAGTCCAGTCTGTCCAGGTGATCTAAGCTGTAGGAGACGCTGGGCAGGTAGTTGTTACCCGGGTGCTGGTCATTTGATGATCTGGGCAGATAGCCATTGGGTGGATAGACATCAGGTGACATCATCATGTGACTGTTGGCAGGGTATAGGTCAGGTGACATGGTCACGTGACCGTAGTATGGCCTGTGTAGAGGAAGTGATGAGGTCATGTCATGTTTTATAAAGAGCTTATGTCAAAGACAATTTATAAGGACGAGAGCATGTAGGTCTATTTACGGTTCAGATGTGCGTAAATGGAAAAGGTATGAGCCATGATATGTAAATGTATCTATGAATATTTATAGTCTTCATCCACATGTATAATCATAGCATGTGTTGCACTGACAGCTGTCTCAGCAGAACAACCTTCCACTCATGAATATTTATGTACGTGCCAAGAGACTCGATGCAACATAATGCTGACCCTGCAAACTGAACCTTAAAGAAAAAATACTGTCCCTCCATTTGAGTCATCCATGGGCTGAAGTAGAGGTCTTCTCTTCATACCTTTCACTTCAGTCCATACACTTAAGATGAGGGATGTCCCGATCTGATCTCAAAGATCGGTATCAGGGCCGATCAAGGCATTTTTTAACTGATTGGGATCAGCTTTATTGAGCTATATAGAGGATCCGATTCTTTAACATCAGCTGTCACACTGGTGTTTCTATTGACAGTGCAGCCATCTCCAACTCTCTGTTCTCCTTTTCTCCTCCACTCAACTGAGCAGGAGCTGAGCCCTGCCCGTGGAGAAACAAAAAAAACTCAGTATGAGACTGTTTATTTATGTTTTTTTAATCAATATTATGAGCACTGGTTCCATTACAGTGTGAAAGTCTTGTGCGTTTATGGTGCACGATGTCTACCCGCAGGCGGATCAGAATAGAACAGAATAGAATAGAATAGAAAGCCTTTATTATCATTGCACAGGAACAAAAAATGCTACATATACAACGAAATTGCGGGAGAGACAGAGACAAGCAGTGGTGCTGAACCGACGACAACCACACTGACCTCTCTCTGCAAGTGCAACAAAACCCTGAGGAGCAAAAAGTACGCAAGATTTTTATATTAATGTAGCCTAAACTACGCACAACGATGAAAATAAACACTGAATGAACTACAGCTCATCCGGGTAACTCAGACAAAGGCTGCACTGAAGCAACAAACAATGGAGGATACTCTCTTAAAGGACAGAGACATTCCCCCCTGTTTACTTATTCTTTTTTTAAATGAATAAGTAAACAGTAAGGAACAGCTTGGATACAGGATTTTTTTTCTTAATGCATTGCAGAGCTTTTCAGTTGTCAAGCATATACAATGGATTGATTTTAAGAACTTCAATGTCCTTGAAGTGTGCACTGTGCAGCTGCACCTGGCTCGGGCCAGGTATGCTCAATACTAAATGACTTGGATCGGGATCAGGAACATCCATACTTAGGGCCATTCCCAACTTTTACTGAAGTTCCAACCCTTTTCACCCATTCCAAAATTCTTACCCATGTCCCAAAATTCTTCCCTGTTTTTACACTTTACACTCTGGTCCCAAATTGTTTCTCCATCCCAGAACTTCTACCTTAGCTCCAAACTTTCATCCTGTTTCCAAAATAATTCCCTTGTCCAACTATTTACCCCCACTGTTCACCATTAACCCCCAAGTACAATCCTTTGCCCTAATCCCAAACGTAGTCCTACCCTAGTCCCAGAGTTTTCAACAGATTTCCAATGTTGTGCCCCACTTACAACCATGACTGCAGGGACAGGCCTTTGACCAGTCCAAACCTCTGACCTCTGTTCCAGCTGTTTTTCCATTTCACAATTATTGACATCATTATCGAGCATTAACCCAGATAGCAGTCTTAAATCACAGTTCCCAAATTTAAGCCAATTCCCAATGTTTGTTTGTTTTTTACCACAATATAACATACCATATTTCTTTCCTTTCCCAACCTTGACCTATCCATGATTTTTACCCTGTTCTCACTCCACTTACCAAGATACCATTTATTCCCCTCATTCTAACTTCTTACCCACAGTCATAACCCATTATTCCTTTCCTAGAGTTAATTTAACTTAATTTTTGTTATTTAATTTTAATCTTAATTCTGTATATTTTATTAATCCCGAAGGGGAAATTCAATTTCACCATATGTTCAAACTTCTATCCATTTCCATGTTTTCAGTACCTATCCCAACTTCTTTTCCCAGTTACAGTTCACCGTTCTAATCTTGTACCAGCTGGTGTCTGAGCATATACCATGTTTTCAGGGATTACCAGGTCAAAAGTTTTGTCTCAGAAGTTTGCCCTATTCTCAAATGTTTATTTTGATGTGAAACTCTCTGCCCTGATCCCATCTGTTTACCTCACGCCACACAACAACAACAAAACTGTCAGTCACAAGTTTTTATCCCTTTCACACACTTGTCCAACATTTAACCCTATTTCCACTCTTTTATGCTTCTCCCAGCTGTTTGCAAGCCTTTACCAAGTTACTTAAATCCAAACTGTTTACCCCAGGTCCAACAGTTAACGACCCAGCCATCTACCCACTCTAAAACTCATTACAATTGTATAGTTTTTTATTCTCTAACTCTTTTCAAAGCTTCATCTAACTCTTAATCTTCTATGATTATTATTAGTCGTGGCATGAAATACCACAAATACAAAAAGCATTACTAAAAACTGACAAGCTTGTTGCTGTGCCGTCAATCACATCTGTCATTGTCACAAACTAAAACGTGACCTCTTCACCCCAAACCTCTTTTTTCCCCCAGGCCTTGCCCCCCCATCACACAGCCTACCTACCCTGCACTGTATCCATCTCCTTGGCCTCCCTCACCATCCATCAGTCCCATGGCTCTCAAGGCCTCCCAGTGTCTTTCGGTCGGGACTTGGCACTCAATGGCACAACGAGACCGCCGCTTCCTGTGACCATGTCCCCTTCTCGCCTCCACCTGCACATTGATCGGCTGGCCATACTCATCCACAAAGTGCAGCTCCTCTCGGTGTCGGTGACGAGATGGTTCACGAGTCTTGGCCTGGTGAGAGGGAACAGATTTTTTTTTTTCAGTTTGAACTGAAAAGGAATGCTTACTGTAAGGTTAAAAAATGTTCATGGTCCACATTGTGTACATGTACAGCAACACAGTAGTTATATTTTTACATGCTGCAGTTTTGCTTCATCTGTGAGAAGAACTCATTTTTATGTTTTTCAAAGATGTAGCTTTTAAGAGAAAGTCAGGAGCAGGTTGGTTTAAAGATCGGAGATGCTACAGTACATATCATCCTGCTTCTACTGAGCAGCATTCAGGTGTTGTTTGTGGTATTGATGAAGGATTAAGGCAGCATAAATGTGCAGTGGCAAAGTGGGAGTTTAGTCTCCGATACAAGGTCAGTCAATTCTTTGGTTTCTAACTTTTTTGGGATGCCTGACTACAATTGTGTTACATAACGTGGCATATGATTCACACTCTCTTTATATAAAAAGATGAAAGACCGAGCCATTTAGTGTAAGTTGGAGATCAGGACAGAACACTCTGCAGGTTTCTATTCCAGATAAACAGCAGCTGAAATTTACTTCCTCTTGTTCTGACTGAAGGTGTGTTAATTAGTGGAAACAGCTGCTGTTGTGCTAAATTCTGTCGACCCTTGACCCTCCATGACACATAGTGTGGAACAACTGATGTGAATCATTTTAAAACTTACATTAATAATGATGATGTGTTAACACCTTTGGAAATAAGCTTTGGTTTTGAAAAACTGAAGGACATGTGTGGGTATTAACCAACCACAGGACACATAGGATTCATGTTACATCTCACTTTCATAAGCGAGGCAAAGACCTTTATATAAACTCGTATTCTTCCTCTGACTGTTGAGGCTGGCAGATTCAGAAGTATTCAGGAGGAAAATAGATTGCGTGAGCTGGGTGATTCGGGTGAAGTGGAAAGTGAGTCACATCTTCTTTTGTACATACCGAGAGTGTCAGGCTTTCACCCTGAAATATTCAATTGCACGATCAAACATTTGAATGGCAGCTGTATTTTGATGCATCTAACTTTGCTATGGTTCTGTCAGAAGGATAATGTGACAGTTTAATTAGTTTTATTATTTAAGTTCTAATCATTACAGATGGAGTTTACTTTGACTTTATGAATTTTGGCACGGAGGTCTGAAGGTCAGATTTGTGAAAATGGTGTTTTCTTTGGAGTATTGTTTTTAAAAAGCATCTCATTCTGGTCAGCTTCATAATAATCATTCACTATCCGCTGCAACAAAACCCGAAAACATGCCGCCATTATTTCAGTGGCTCTAGGCTTCCCAGCAGCCCTATGAGGATGTACAGTGTACTGTACATCCACAGGCGATACAGAGCCGTTAGTCCTGCACCACCACCCATTTATGTCAAACTGTCAACCTCTTTACAATCAAATGAAACATCGTTCTGCTCTGCTGCCTTACTTCCTGTCAGCCTCTCATCAGAGACAAATAAACCAAGTGTGCTCCTCCGCTCGCGTCTTCCACATCAAACATTTACATTCAGCTTCAGCAGCCGAGATGGAAGATCGCCACTGATCCTCTCTGAGACAAAACCTCAGCTCTCACCTCGGCTGCAGGTGTTCATCTTTTAACAATGAAACTATATATGAGGGCCATTGCCGTCCCATTGCAAATACAGTCTTCATATTTGTCAGATCTTAAAGATTTACATCTTCAGTAGGTTTGGAGGATGAGGTGAGAGACACAAACAGGAAGTAAATAGGCAATAATCATTCCCTTTGCCATTAGGCCAGAGCTGTGCACACGGCTCTGCAGCAGACGAGTATGCCTTTCTGTGTGGGGTTGTTTTTGTCGTTTTTTTTTTTTGGTGTGTCACATTTGAAGTCACCGACAGGCTGGAAAACTGGTTAGTAAACAGTGGAAAGCAGCACGGAGGCCTGTGAAAACCCTACTGTAGTTACGTCTTTTTATGTCTTACTTATTCAGCCTCTCTTTCAAACCCGACACAGACTCATTTGAAACGATGTCTGAGTGCTGGTTGGGCGGAGATGGACGGTATTTTGTGGTGGTGCGTCATTGCATCTCGCTGGTTAGGGGGTTAGAATTACTGTAGGTGTTGTTTTTCCATCACTGCTAATCAGAGCTGATAAATACCAGTGACTACTGCAGAGTTATTTGACCCGTCTGTGAATGTATTTCCCCGTTACATTAAAGTCAGATGTTCTCAGCGTCTTTTTTCAGTTGTTCTCAACGAGGGGCAAACATATGTTGCGGCATGCGGCCACCTCGAGAACAAGCACCGTGCCCAGCAACTTTTTTCAGAGCACTCTTTTACTTTTTTGGGGATTGCAGGAGGAAAAACCTGCTTTCAGAAATACCCATGTACTTGTTAACTTTCTTGTGTCTAAAGGTCCAGACACACCAAACCGACTTCAAAGAACTAGCAGCAATGAAAGCCAACTGTTGCGTCGCCTCACGTCACTTGTGTCTCAGCCAAATGTTGACCATGAACACACAGCAGAGACTGCAGCCAGCAACCAACCAGCAGGTACGTTCTGCGCCTATGTGAGAAGAAATAGCTCTCCACAGCAGCAGACGGCAGTCGTCTGTAATTGTCATTTAAAAAGGGGAATCAGAGGAGCTTCTTGATGCTAGCTGGCCAGTTAGCACAGTAACAACACAATCCAGTGTTGAAAGAACAGGGCGTATTTACCGTACATAATAACACAAAGCATCAGGAGACGTTTCTGCCAAAGAGCTCAAGCTTACCTTGTGGAAGGGGTTGCAGCAATGTACCATTTTCAAGGTATAAAAGTTGATGGTTATGATGGCGTGTAAATTTGCTCATCTACAATGCTGAAAAAACAGGATGGAGAATCTCGCCTTTATTTGAGTTATTTTTAAAAGACTTTTTACACAAATTTCCATCAAGAAAATGGTTTCAAGTTTCAATTATAGTAATAAAATATTTGTTCAACCAACAATAACCTTTCTGTTTGTATTCTATAAGACTCATTCTAACTGATAATAATAAAAATTCTGTGATATTTCCTGAGACGCTTATCGTACTGAAAAAATATCATTCTGTTGCAACCCTACACAGAGAACAAGTTTGTTTTGGTCGCACCCCTTCTGGACTTTGGCTTTTTGTTACTGAAGTCACTGACGTTGCACTTCACGTGCACCGAGCTGAACTGCCAATCAGAGTGATTTCACTCACCAGCAGGCTCCGCTGTCGCTGATGTAACGTGCTGAATCAGCCAAAAGGGCTAAAAACAGCCAGCAAGGACCAGTGGTGTGACAGATATTCACAGACTGTCAGCTTGTTGTGTCAGGGCCTTTAAACAGCAGTGGACTTGTTTTTACTTGTAGACTGTTGTGGTGTTCACATTATTTTAAAACACCTCGAATTGAAAGTCTGAAAGTCTTTAGTTTGATTTAATGTGGATTATTTGAAACTGCAGTGAGTATAATTCACAGGATCAGATCTGATACTCTGATACAGTTTTGTAAAGCTCGCTGCATCTGACACTTTAATTTAATTTTGCATGCTGACCGTGATTTTGTGCTGAGAACGAGGAGTGTCGCATTTTGCAGAGTTTTGCACTTTGAGTGAAAATTGAGTCAAAAGCTTGAAACTGTGAGAGAAGGAGGGAGAGGAGAGATCAGCCTGCGTTACTGTCAGAGTGCAGCCGAGCGCAACACACTCCTCCAGGGTACAGCACATCACATCACTCTGATTTCTCTCTGTGTAGCTCTGTATGTATGTGTGTGTGTGTGTGTGTTAGTGCATGTATGTCTGTGTGAAGCAGGTTTCCACATGTATGAACTGGTGTGTTTCTGTGTGTGTGCACGTCTCTCTGTATCTGTGTGTGCCTGTTTTATTTTTCTTTTGATAATGTCTGTTTGTGTTCCCAGATTGTGTGTGTGTGTGTGTGTGTGTGTGTCCTCAGGCCGTGCACTGAGAGTGTAAAGACTCCAGTGCTGGTCCAGGGGTCACAGTGCTGCTGCTGCTGAATCCTGACCTACATCATGCTGCTGTTACGACCGAGTCTCTTTAACTTCGCTGCATCTTAACTTTCACGTGACGTTACGACACAAACCACCGCTATTATAGTCCCGTCATCACTGACACTCAGGAGACATAATGACAGAATGTCCTTCAGGGCGTGAGCTGTCCTTTTATGTCCTGAGCTGACAGAATGGTGACACACTTACATTTTGTATTTGAGAACATTTTTGTTTTTCCTGAGCTCTGTAATGTTTACGTGAAGGTGTGTGAAAGAGTCACATTTCATTATTATAATTAATTAGCAGTTAAATTCATGTTATAAAATAACACATTCTGCCTCATCTGCTGTGTGTTATTGATTTATTAATACATTGTTCTAACTCTTAGATAATCTTACATTATATACACTATATATACATGCAGAGACACACACACACACACGTACATACATATACTGTATATACCACTGGTTCCCATCCTGGGGGTCCTGACCCCCACAGAGTGGGACACCTGTACTGCAGCCATAGAAATACAACATACAACATATTACATAGACAAATTAACATTATATCCAACGTAGCAATGAAAAACACAAAAAGATAAATGAATAACATCATACTCTTAAAATACCTCTATAAAAATGCATATCAGCAAATTGCCATAATCCATTGCCAGCTCTCACTTTATCTGCGTCAACAGCAGAGGTGTAAGAAAACTTTTTTAAAAACAATAGGCCTGTATCTCAGTGTGAAGAAAACTAATAATAATAAACTAAGTCTGTACAGTCGTCATAAATGTTAAAATCGGCTACACTGTAAACCCAGATTTTGTTACTAATAAAGCTCCAGAGTAATCATTACTAATTCTTTCATGTTTTGTAAAAACATACTATCATTACTAAACAACATTAGTTGTTTGTCACATGACGAGGCCAGCTGCTTTTAATCTGTGCGTCCATTTCACGCTTTACACTTGGTGGGACCTGCACAGCGGCGGCAGACCGTGAAGCTGCAAGAGGAATGGTTA